ATTAGAACAGTTTCACTTTGGCTATAACTCCCATCATTCGCAAGAATGGGTCAAGACTTTCTATTATTGCTGGAATTTTTAGCACAATTCCAATTTGAATATAAACCCCGTCATTCGCAAGAATCGGTCAAAACTTTCTTTTATTGCAAGGAACTTTAACACAGTTTTATTTTGACTAACTTCCCATTATTCGCAAGAACGGTTCAAAATTTTTTTTGCTGGGATTTTTAGCACATTTTCAGTTTGACTATATTTCCCATAATTCGCAAGAATGGGTTAAAACTTTCTAATATTGCTGGGATTTTTAGCACAATTTCAAATTGATTATAATCCTCATCATTCGCAGGAATTGATCAAAGTTTTCTATTATTGCTGGAATTTTTAGCACATTTTCAGTTTGACTATAACTTTTATCATTCGCAAGAATGGATCAAAACTTTCTGTTTTTGCTGGGATTTTTAGCACAGTTTCAGTTTGACTACAATTCCCATCATTCGCAAAAATGGATCAAACTTTCTCTTATTGCTGGGATTTTTAGCACAGTTTCAGTTTGACTACAATTCTCATCATTCGCAAGAATGGAACAAAATTTTTTTAATGCTGGGATCCTTAGCACAGTTTCAGTTTGACTATAGTTTTTATTATTCGCAAGAGTGTATCAAAACTTTCTCTCATTGCTGGGATTCTTAGCACACTTTCAGTTTGACTATAATTCCCATCATTCGCAAGAATGGATCAAATTTTCTCTTATTGCTGGGATTTTTAGCACAGTTTCAGTTTGACTATAATTTTTATCATTCGCAAGAATGGGTCAAAACTTTCTACTATTGCTGGGATTCTTGGCACAGTTTCAGTTTTCATTTTTCAATAACAAATCATAAGTGATCGATTGCGGTGCGCATCATATGTAGTGCATCCTCCTTTTCAGCCTAACTCTGGGAATAGAAATGTATCAAAAAAGATTCCTCATTGACCAAAAATACTCCTTGTTGTTTTTCATTGCAGTGATTTAAGCCTTTTAAAAGTCCGTTTTCTTAAAATGTTTAGCTGTTCTTGTTCGTTGGTCAACCCCAAAGCTGAAAAAATCTGCGCAGAGGGTGATTTATTTTCCTCAAAAAGTGCAATACGGCAGTAAATTTTAGATGAGTCGAATGACTTTCTCGTTTTGAAGTCTCTATTTATTATTTAGTTAACTTCCTTGGTTGACCAAAACTGCTTATCATACACTTTCGTTGTATTTTGCGGAAATTTTTAGCTCTGTTTCAGTGCGACTTTAAATTTTATCATTCGCAAGAATAGGTCAAAACTTTCTATTAATTTTGCGATTTTTAGCACAGTTTCAGTTTGGCTTTAACTCTCATCACTCGCAAGAATGGGTCAAAACTTTCTATTATTGCTGGGATTTTAGCACAGTTTTAGTTTGACTAAGTTCCCATCATTCGCAAGAATGGGTCAGAATTTTCTTTTATTGCACGGTTCTTAGCACAGTTTCAGTGCGACTTTATTTTTTATCAATCGCAAGAAAGGTCAAAATTTCTATTATTGTTGCAATTTTTAGCACAGTTTCAGTTTGACAATAATTCCCATAATTCGCAAGAATGGTTCAAAACTTTCTATTTCTGCTGGGATTTTTAGCACGCTTTCAGTTTGACAATAAATCCCGTCATTCGCAAGCATGGGTCAAATTGTTCTATTTTTGCAGGGATTTTTAACACAGTTTCAGTTTTACTAACTTCCCATCATTCGCAAGAATGGATCAAAGTTTTCTATTATTGTTGGAATTTTTAGCACGTTTTCAGTTTGACTATAATTACCATAATTCGCAAGAATGGGTTAAAACTTTCTATTATTGCTGGGATTTTTAGCACAATTTCAAATTGATTATAATCCTCATCATTCGCAGGAATTGATCAAAGTTTTCTATTATTGCTGGAATTTTTAGCACATTTTCAGTTTGACTATAACTTTTATCATTCGCAAGAATGGGTCAAAACTTTCTATTATTGCTGGGATTTTTAGCACAGTTTCAGTTTGACTATAATTCCCATCATTCGCAAAAATGGATCAAACTTTCTCTTATTGCTGGGATTTTTAGCACAGTTTCAGTTTGACTAAAATTCTCATCATTCGCAAGAATGGAACAAAATTTTTTTAATGCTGGGATCCTTAGCACAGTTTCAGTTTGACTATAGTTTTTATCATTCGCAAGAGTGTATCAAAACTTTCTCTCATTGCTGGGATTTTTAGCACACTTTCAGTTTGACTATAGTTCCCATCATTCGCAAGAATGGATCAAATTTTCTCTTATTGCTGGGATTTTTAGCACAGTTTCAGTTTGACTATAATTTTTATCATTCGCAAGAATGGGTCAAAACTTTCTATTATTGCTGGGATTTTTAGCACAGTTTCAGTTTGACTATAATTCCCATCATTCGCAAAAATGGATCAAACTTTCTCTTATTGCTGGGATTTTTAGCACAGTTTCAGTTTGACTATAATTCTCATCATTCGCAAGAATGGAACAAAATTTTTTTAATGCTGGGATCCTTAGCACAGTTTCAGTTTGACTATAGTTTTTATCATTCGCAAGAGTGTATCAAAACTTTCTCTCATTGCTGGGATTTTTAGCACACTTTCAGTTTGACTATAATTCCCATCATTCGCAAGAATGGATCAAACTTTCTCTTATTGCTGGGATTTTTAGCACAGTTTCAGTTTGACTATAATTTTTATTTTTCGCAAGAATGGGTCAAAACTTTCTATTATTGTTCCGATTTTTAGCACAGTTTCACTTTGGCTATAATTCCCATCACTCGTGAGAATGGGTCAAAACTTTCTATTATTGCTGGGATTTTTAGCACAGTTTCAGTTTGACTATAAATCCCGTCATTAGCAAGAATGGGTCAAAATTTTCTATTTTTGCAAAGATTCTTAACCTAGTTTTAGTTTGACTAACTTCCCATCATTCGCAAGAATGGATCAAAATTTTCTATTATTAATGGGTTTTTTAGCACAGTTTCAGTTTGACTATAATTTTTATTTTTCGCAAGAATGGATCAAAACTTTCTATTATTGTTCCGATTTTTAGCACAGTTTCACTTTGGCTATAATTCCCATCACTCGTGAGAATGGGTCAAAACTTTCTATTATTGCTGGGATTCTTGGCACAGTTTCACTTTTCTTTTTTCAATAACAAATCATAAGTGATCGATTGCGGTGCGCATCATATGTAGTGAGTCCTCCTTTTCAGCCTAACTCTGGGACCACAATTGTATCGAAAAAGTTTCCTCATTCACCAAAAATACTCCTTGTTGTTTTTTATTGCAGTGATTTAAGCTTTTAAAGTCCGTTTTCGCAGAATGTTTAGCTGTTCTTGTTCGTTGGTCAAACCCAAAGCTGAAAAAATCTGTTGCAGAGGGTGATGTATTTTCTCCAAAAAGTGCAATACGGCATTTAGATGGGTCGAATAATTTTCTCGTTTTGAAGTCTCTATTTATTATTTAGTTAGCTTCCTTGGTTGACCAAAAATGCTTATCATACACTTTCGTACAATTCCAAATACAAAAAAATGGTATGAAAGTTGTATGCTATGCATTTTTTTCACAAACAAAAACAAAAATTTGAGGCAGAAAAATTTTAATCCCTTTTTTGGCTGCAAACTTGCTTCTGTGCTGAAATATAAATTTTACGAAAAAAAATTTTGCATGCAAAATTTGACTTTTTTGTGTTTATTAGGTAGTCCACGATGATTTTTTTACCCAAAAAGTCCACAAATCACAAGGAAGTGTTTTTTTGTAAACACGATTATCTTTTGTTTCATCTGCTAAGATAAATAAATTTGTATAAAAACAGGCCTTTTTTCTCAACCACCAAAATTTTCAAGTAAAGACTATCCAGCCATATTCAAAAAGTTAGTTTTTTGGTATATAATTCCATGTGAAATTGTTCAGATTTACTTTCATGGCTAAAAGCACCAAATGCAGTTTATCTACGTGGTAACTGCCAGTTACACTCTGTAATTTTTATGACAAATAATCCTTGGTTAGTTTTTTGGTTGAAACGCAAAATTTCGCTTTCATATTTTCATTTATGGAAAAAATGCTTGTCATAAAATTTCATTGTATGGAAAAAATGCTTATTTTGCTATTTTCATACACTTACTTTTTCTCTATGAAATTGTATCAAAGATTATGGTAAACATTTTTTTCATATATGAAAATTGAATGATAAGCATATTTTGTCAACCCGGGTGATAACCAATTTTCTTTTTATGAAAATTGTATGACAAGTAATTTTCCACTCGAGCAAGCGTTTCTCTTAAACAAGAATACCATAGGTTAAGAGGCAAGAATCACACCAGTGAAGTGTATCGAAGATTCGCCGAGAAAATTGACGGGTTTAATAACCTCATAGTAAACTATAATTCAACAAGTACGCGTCAAGCAATTATAAATCAACGCTAAAAACGTAGATGTAATCTCGAAAAGAACCACTGGAAGTTTTATTTGCATTTCAGTACTTTTTATATTCGAATTCCAGGTTTTGTTTAGTTTTTAGGTTTTCGGCTACAATTTTCAGTTGCAATTGTTGCAGCAATTGCTTGCTAAAGATTTTCCCAATTTTTATAAGAATTAGTTTTTTTGTTCTTTTATTTTCCTAGGAGCTGTTTTATAAAAAAAATACACTGTGCCAATTTTTTTATTTAATTTTTTTGCCGCATTGAACATTTGTCTAACTCTGGCAATGAAAAATGCGCTTGACATAAATTAAGATTACGACATGAAAAAGTAAGTCTCGTGCATGAAATTATGGCATCATTTTAAAATAAACTTAGTGCAAATTAAAAAAGGGTAAACAAGGACTTTCTTTCCCAAAAAAGGGTAACCAATAGTTGTTTACAATGCTCCGAACTCTTAACTTTAGGTGGGGAAGAATGTCGCATGTCGAAGAAATTGCACACGCTGCTTTTATCTATCTATTTGGAAATGAGCTATACTAACAATAAATGAACAGCCACGAAGCAGACAGATGGTCAGAGGCTCAGTGGACAGGTATGTCGATCCAGGTGAGCCAGGGCGAGAGCTGGGTTATATGTAGAGGAGAGTTGTATTGGGGAAAGTGTGTTTACTTTGGGTTTTGTGAGGGCGGGGCCCTGTATGCGACTACGCACTTGGTTGTCGACAGCAGCCGAATGATAAGTTTGAGTTGACAGGCGACAGTCGTGTTATACTCTTGATGGTTTGTTGACCAATATTGAATTCAGTGAGTGTTGATAATAATCGTAAGCAGACTTCTCTCTGGAAGTGGAGGTTGTTGCGACTACAGAGAGAGGCGAACGTGAACAGCCGCCGGCTAACCAAATTTTGACAGAAAGCAAGATTGCACGGAATATATATTGTGTGTATGTATGTGTATGTGTATGTGTATGTGTATGTATGTGTGTTGTTCGAATGTATTTTGTGTCGAGTTGGGGGAATTGAGCATATAAGGAATATGGGAATAATGAGTGGCGTTTATAATCAAAATAAAAAGAGACTATATGGAGCAGAGGGTTCAGGCTACAATTGTTGTCTGGAAGTGCACATAGAACAGCCCTTGTTTCTACATATAGACACAGCACATAGCCACTATACTAGTAGTAAGCTGCAGTGCTATAACACTATACACCACACGTGAACACACAGGTAAGCTCAGCAGGGCTCTTCTTAGGGTAACAGTTTATGCCGAGATTTACTCTGTGTCCCAATTGGTGTGTGTGTGTGTGTGTGGAGACAGGGAGGAAAAGTGAGGAGCAATATATGCAACACTAGTTTTAGCTGCTTACCTGTTTTCAAATATTAGCTGCTTAGTTAGTTCTGTTATGAATGGTTAGAAAAAGTAAATTCCTGAAATTTGAGACAGAAGCAGCTAAAAGGCGCTGTAAAGCATATTGCGCTAAATATATGTTGAATGGAACAAGGAAGGTGTATGTTTAGTGCTTGTATATATGTTGAGAGAGCCACACAGGAAAAAGAGGGAAAATGTGAAAACGTGTATTTTGTGTGTGTGGGATGTTAGATTGCTATTCTGTTCTCGTCTGTTCTCAATAGGCAGAGGCAGGGGCAGAGTGCCCATGTATTAGTGTGTGCGTGTGTGGCTCTCATGTGTCCATTGCCACTGCGGATATACGCATGTATGGCCATGCAGCTTCTTTTCCTCCCTTCCCCATTTCCACATACCTCTCTCTCTCTCTCTTCCCTGATGCGGTGGCCATAGTACATGAGTGTAAATCAGTTACTATCTGTACAAATAGCAGGGCAGAGAAAAAGGGGAAAAGAGGGAGAGGGATATGCGACCACCACCCACAATTATACTTCTGTGTTGCCCATCACATACACACATACACACACACACACATGCAAAATACAACACAACTAAGGTCTTACTGTTTGCCTCTCTCTCTCTTTTCTCTCTCTCTGGAGTCTCGACTGCGCAGCTGTGCTGTAAAAATGTGGTGGAAAATAGCGGAGCCAGGATGGAATTGAGGAATGAACAGAAAGGGAAAGTGTGGTTTGGAATAGAAAGGAAGCGGTCGTACTGAAACACACTATAATACTACAGTTTAGGCTACTGCTGCTGCTGCTTTATGGCGTCTCTGTCTTTTTTTCTCTCTCGAGATTTCGTTGAGCAAAATGAAGAGACGGCGGCGGCGCGGAAGTATTTGGAACAGAGATGAAAGAAAAAATGCAGGGGAATATTCCACACATAGCATAGCAGACACACACAGTCAATGAGATGACACAATTGAGCCACTGCTGCTCACCCACACAACAGTTCTGGAGTGGAAGCACAGCCATTGCAGGGGGAGGGGGTGATATTGTGAACATTCCACGCCATATTTTTATAGAAGATGCCATAAAAACAGGGAAAACAAACTGCGCAAATCTATCGGGTTATTACATGCATCGCATCTTTGTACATTGCAGAACACCGCTGTACGTATGTTCGTATTTCCTCATCCGGAAATTCTATCTGGTTTGAATTTGGCTCAAAAAAGCTCATTTTAGGACAAAAAGGGACTTTTGTAACAACCGCGCATAAACAATCCTGAGCTTTATTGTGATAATGGTCCCTGTAGTTTTCTTTGCATGAAAAGGTTATGAAATTAATTTTCCGTCAACTTTCGTATCAGAGCAAAGCCCTGATTGTTTCGACTACCTTTTAAGGTTTATGAAGCATTGCTCGGTTGAAAGAATTTTATGTTGAGAATTTTTTAAAGACCATCCAGCCACACGCCGTACTTTTTTTCAAATTAGCTTCTAGTTACTTAGCACTTTTGACAACTAGCTTGCTTCAACCAATTTGGAATAATTTCTACGACGGATTAAATGTCCGCTGATGCGTTAAAAGCGCGAAATATATCGCGCTTAATTGTCCCCAATTGACCCTATCGGCAATCTTTACACCCCCATACTTTTACAAAAAAAAGGTAAAAATTTTCCTAATTTTGAGCACCAGACAACAATACTTTTCGGATGATATTAAAAAACTCCTTGTTAACAACTCGAAATTTGTCTGGAGAAAAAAGTCACCCGAGCCCAAAAACCACCCCTTCGAAAGTCGGAACAACACGTCTGCTCCTGCATCAGGGTTGTATTTAGCGTCCTATGTCCTACTAATGAAACGAATTGTCTTGCCTCAATTCAATTTGGAACGCATTAATCCTCCGCGTACGCGTGTTAAGAGAATAAAAAAATGCGCGCAATTTACCCCAATTTTCGAACTCCCATCACTCTACGGAAGATACTCAAAGGTAAAATATCTCCTCAAAGTTGGGCTATTTTTCAAGTGGTAGGGAAAAAATTCGGTATAAGCATAAGCATAAGTATAAGCACGAAAACCGTTAATGAGTGTTCTTTGCAAAAAATTTTTGTGAAAAAAAACGTAGGCCTGTGACGGGTTTTCTTTCTTAAGCAATCATACTTTTTTAATCCATTCGTACAATTAATGGATTCATCAAAAACATAAATTTTTTTTAATTACACGTTAGCACACAAACGCGAATATGACAGAATTTTTAGTGATTACACTAACGCCTCAATTAGGAAAACTAGAAAAAAAAACAGCATCACACCATTCTCCAAAACAGTGAACAGTCCTAAAGTTCAGAGAGTTAGCAGAAATCACAACAAATTCGGAATTGGAAAACTTGGAAAAAATTATTTCATAACAAGTAGCACGAATTTCACAAAATCACGTTTTGCAGGCGAACAACATGAAAGCATCAGAAACAATTAAAATAGATCAAATCACTAAAAAACTCATCACTAAAGTACTCATTAGAGAAACCTCAATGTCAACAGCAAACAATCTTTTACGAAATGCAGCTCAATTTGCAGACCATATGGAAACAGCGTAGCTGAAGGCGTTGTTGTGATTGTGCTTTTCTTCCATTTAAATCTTGAGTTTTAGTTCTTGATTAGGTACCTGCCTCTCATTGCTATTCGAAGTCCATTGGGCTTGGCATCACTTTTTGATTGACATAAAAAGCAGTTTCAATTCAAACATCTTTATGTTTTTCTTTTTAACATTAGCATATATAGTTTTATTAAACCAGTGGTATTTGATCCTTCTATATTATGGCGCAGTCATCGAATTCAAACTTGCGGGAATTTCTGCTTTTTGGCCAAATCACACTGTTGAACTACCCAACCCATTGGAGTAACTGGTTAGATCAATTACACTTGGCAATAATCGCTAAAGAGAATATTGACATTGATAACCTAAAAGATCCAATCAGAAACGGTTATCCCAACTTTAGAAGGCGCCCAAGATTCAGAAAATGAAACAAAGAGTAAAGCCAGGAAGCCCAGAACTAAAAAAAAAAGTAATTGTAATTTATGATAACGCTGAGCATAAAAGAATCGCGGATTAAAAATAGAAATTCGGCGGCATGAGAAGACTCGAGACGGATAAAAAAAATTATGATCGGTTTTTTACCTAGTGCTTGGATCCGAAAGGTTTTTTCAGAGAAGCATCCTGGAGTGAAAGTGTTTTCATTCGTTTTCAAAAAAATTTTCGATCACCTTGAAGCCGTATTTGTAAAGACTGCTTATATAACTTTCGAGAAGTACAATTTTTTGAGCCTAAAACAAAAAGATAGAGAGTCCTATGAACATATCTGGTGAGCACTATCTGATTTGGCTAGAACTTACGAAATCGAGTTGAATGCTGAACGGGAGTGGACTCGAGACGTCTTTTTCTTCAATATGAGAAACTGCAAGAGGCTCCTGTCAAAAACTTTGAAGCTAATGGGTGCTCCAACTCAGGCAATCATCGCCGAAAAAGGATATTTTAGTTACCAAAAACTAACCAACATAACGAGGGCTAATAACAGCTTCAATAAAAATTGCTAAATATACAAAAAACTTGATCCTGTAAAAAGAAAACCAAGCCTGAACATAGAAAAGTCAAATTCGTGTTTGAAATATGGAAGGATATTTGAACGTTTGCCCAACATATGTCATTATTTGTAATATCTGTAAACACAAGGGACCTTTTGGCAGATTTTGTGAATTCAAGGCTAAAAAACCTACTGTAAATAGTGTAGATGGAAATTTATTTAATCAGAATTGTCAATTATCTCCTTCAGAACCACAACCAGCTCTGAACAAAACTTTTTTGAGTGTATAATTGACTGGTCAGAAGAAGGAAATAGCGACAATTACGGCTAATTTTTTTGAACATAACAAGAATTTATGAGGATGAGGGTTTAGAGACCAAAAAACCTGTTTAATATCGGGATTGGCAAGGACGCAATTGTGAACTTGAATATACCAGCGGAAATTGCCAGCCTAGTCAGCTTCTTGAAATTGCATTGCAGCATTGCTCCAAATTGTTTTACAGTGATGGAGATTTGCAACTGGTGATGATCGTTGTAGTCTGTTTTCATGATCTCAACCTTGTGCAAAGTTTGGATTGGCACCCATTTGTGCTCAAAAATCTCCAGATACCGTTTCTCGCATTTGGACTCCAGTAGATCAGGCCAAAATTCTATCGAGCCCATAAGCTTGTTCTTTTACACTGAGAAACTCCTTTCGAGTTATACATTGAAGTATTGAATTAAACAAAAAAAGGAGTTTGAACTATTTCGAGCTGAAAGAGGAGATAGATAAAGTTAATTGAGTTGAATTGAAACGACTTTTACCCAAGAGTAATTTCAAATCAAATATACGGGTTAAACCCATCCGAATAAATTTTCCTTTTTTGGTCTGTAGTCGTTTTCAATCAATCTTCAGCTTCCTCTCATGGAGTTTTTTTAAAGGTCGTGTTGAAATAGAATTAATGTTCTTTTCTAGAAAATTTTTACACATTGCCTGTACCAATCAAAAAAAATACCAATCTTTGTGTTATGATTGCTGTATCCAAAAAAATTTACCATTTAAGGGCTTAATTATTCCTGCGAAAGTACACACAAAAAATGACCACAAATTGTTTGCTCTAAAAATAATAAACTGTGACGATATAAGCAACAAAAGAAAGACAATTATAAAAAAATTCATCAAATCAATTAATTTTTTGTAATTTACCAATTAATTTTTCTCAATGACAAATTCTGCAGAAAAGTAAATTTTTCTATCTTTCTTTCTTTCGTTACTTATGTCGGCCATATATCTGAATTTTTCAGCAAACAACTTGTGGTAATTTCTCTTTGTGTTTATTGTGTGTATTTTCAACTTGTAAGTATTTTCAGTTGGTTATAACACATGCAAAATGTAGCATTAACCTTAGCCTTTTTTACATTGGTGTAGTGAATCTTGAAATATGGAAACTTCGAG